TCTGAGGCCAACCTGGGAGAATCCCCCTCCAGCTGCTCCTGTCCAGCAGTGCCTCAGGCCTGACCCTGCAGGAGTGTCCTGGGTCAGCTGGAGGGTGTGAGCTGGGTCTGGGCTCAATGCCCAGATGACTGGACAGGGGCTGCCTGGCCCATAGCCCAGGCCTGAAGGAGGGAGGAAGAACCTCATGTGTCCAGCCAGGCAACCCTCACACCCCTCCCGCTGCCGTCACCCATTACTGTGTTTGGGGTGAAAACAGACCAAGTAACTATGGCAACCTGGAACCAGGGCTCCCAGGAACTAGACCTTTCCTCCCTCCAGAGGGCAGCCCAGCTTCTCAGCTGTGCTTTCTATCCCAGAGTCCTGAGCCTTATCCACCCTATCTCTGGAGGGGGTGCAGTGAGAACAAGGATTTTGGAAGCACATCACCTGAGCTGGATTCCCTGCCCTGTCTTTCATAGTAGGTGTCCTTAAACATTCTGGGCCTTAGTTTCCTTTTCTGTAAGATGGGATGTTCCTACCTCCTAATCAGGGTTGATGACAGGATGAAAGATGACATCCTCAGTGCCTGGTCCATAATAGAGACACCTTTTCCTCATCCCTTGTCCCTTTCTGTCTCCATCTCTGTTGTGCTTCTCTCTCCCACTTTTATCCAATCTGTGTTCCACTGTTTCATTGTCCAGTTGCTCTTCCTCCTTCTTGCCCCCAGTTCGGGAAAGTACTTGAAGTGCTGGCATCTCAGTGGGGGACCCTGGGGTAGGACATCCTGCTCCTCTGCTAAGTGGCAAGGGACAGCTGGCACTTTGGTGTGGATGAGACATCAGACCTCTCTTGGCTGAGGGAGTGCGGTGGTGGGAGGGATTGAGAAGGATGGTGGGTGGGTACCTGATGTGGGGTGAAAGCTGGGCAGGCTCTGGGCTGCTGCCCTCTAGGCCCATGTGGATCTCTATTCCTCTGGCCACTCAGCATGCCAGGCTGCTGTCACTCCTGCACCTCTTTGGCCCCTCCTGCCCTATGCCTGCTTTGTCTTTCTGTTCTGCTTTCCTTATGCCACCATCTCCTGCTTTTCTTCCTCAGGATCCCGCCTTTTGTTCTCTCTCATCCCTGACCTCATCATCCCTCCCTTCCTCTTTCTAGACTTCTTTCCTGCCTTTCTTTGCTCTCTACCTCATTAGCAGTTATCACGACCTCTTTTTGACCCATTATTCATCATTGTTTTTTTCTTCTTGTGTATCTTCCCCACCCCATCCACTGCTTCACTGTCTTAATTTTTTTTTTTAATTTAAAAATAGAGGTGGGATCTCACTATGTTGCCCAGACTGGTCTTGAACTCCTGGCCTCAAGCAATCCTCCCATCTCGGCCTCCCAAAGTGCTAGGATTGCAGGCATGAGTCACCGTGCCGGCCTTATTTAAAAAAAAATTTTTTTTTAATTCACTGTCTTTTTCCTTTGTTCTTCTTGGTCTTTTCATCTGCTGCTGCCGCTGACCCTGTGCTTGTCACCTCCCTTTTTCATGCCACCCCCTTTCTATTTCCCATTCTGCTCCCTTGTCCACATTTCTTGCCCCTTTCCATTATTTCCTCTCTTTTCCCCCACTTTGATCCTCTCCTCCTCCTTCCTTCCCCCACTCCCTTCACTTCCCACACCAGTTCTCCGTCCTCTTCCCAGCTGTGGGGGCCAGCACTGGGGAGCCTGATGTTTGTCTCATCGTTCTGCTATGGCTTCTGGATACAGCACATCTGGATTCCGGGGCCCAGATGTGTGGTTGCCACAGCGACCTGGGTCCCTGTGGTAAATACAGGCGCCCACCCGCCTCAGAGCAGAGAACAAAACAATTGTGTGACTTTCTTTTGTCACGAGATAGAAATGTCCTTCCTCCTCCCTTCTCCCCACACCCATGTCTCCAGGCAAAGGAAGTTTTAAGGGTCCCAACCCTTCTTTCTGAGACTCCCTTGCCCCCTTTTCAGCTGTAGCCTCTTAGTTCTCTCCCATCTTTCATCCTGGGCTCTGTCTTTTCATTCTGTGTTCCCCATCCTCACCCCACCCCCAGTTCTCAATAATGGAGTGTTGACCACCCCCTTCCCCATCTGATGCCATTTCTTCTAACTGAATCTACACAATACCTGGATGCAGAAAGAAGTTTCAGAAATCTGGATTCTCCACCCTTCTTTGTACAAGTGCTTCAAAGAAGCCACTTTGTTTGTTTGTTCCCTAAGTCTTCAATCCTTTCCTTTCCTGGAGTTGTTTGGGGAGGAGAGGGAATACAGGCTTAGGAATCAGAACACCTGAGTGAGGCCCACCTTCACCACTACTAACTTAGTCCCTTGAACAAGACCCTTAATGTCTATGAGCCTCTGTTTCCTCAGCCACAAAGTGGGATTAATGCCTGCACTGTGTAGGAAACTGTTTTGTAAACGGAAGCCCGGCACAAGTGTTTTCTATCTTTCCCCTCTCTGGGACTGCTTTCTTGGACTACCGCCCCTGGCATCTCTTGTTCCCCTGTCTTCATCCTTCAGGTCCTTGCCCTCAATTGCCCTTACTCTTCTGTGTCTGCCTTCTCTCCTCCCTATCTTTCCTTTCCTTTTCTCTGTCTGTCATCTCTTTTCCTCCTGAGGTCAGGACAGAAACTTGGAGGATCATTCAAGGAAGGAGGCTCAGAGCTGAAGACACAGGGACTGAGGATACAGAGAACAACCGGAGCTTGTGGACGGTTCTCAACAACACTGACCTTTCTACCCACCACCCAGGACACCTCAGTGAAGCCAACCCCAGCTCTGACCACTGGGCTTCCCTGCCTTCACGCCTGGGCTCATTACTCTTTCCCCCTCCTCTCTCCCAGTCCTTTCACATTTCAGTGTTGACTTGCATTTATTGGTCACCTACACTATGCAAGGCTTGGTGCTTTTCTTACAAAATGTGAACATGTAAGACATGAGCTTCTCCATGAGCCTGGAAACCAAAGGGTAAACCAAATGGTAAACAATGATAATTCCAGAACCTGAAGCTATATCTGCTAAGCGTCCAGTGGCTTCCCCGATGCCTTATAAGCTTGTGTACATCTGGAATCCCACATTTCTCTCTGAGACCCCAACAGTGGGCTTCCAGAACATCCCAGCACCATCCTTCTGGCTGTCCTCTCTGGCGTCCCTGGCCACCCTCTGTGCCAAATGTACTTATGTTGACCATTCTTCCTAAATAATAAAGCCAGGATATAGGGCATAGGCACAAAAAAAAAAAAAAAAAAAGATACGACCATGAAGCAGAAATCTGAAGGGGTCAGAGGAAATTCATACTCTGTTCTGCCCTGTGTGTGCGATGCTGTCTCCAGACCCTTCCTCATCCTTTCACTGCTGTGCTCCCCACCTCCTGCCAGGAGATCCTTGGGAAGCTGCTACCTACTCCTGGCTCTGGGGGCTTCAGGCCAAGGCAGAGGAAGGAAGCTGAGCCTGGCTCTGTCCAAGATGCTGACTTCATCCTCCCCATCAAAGCCAGGAAAAAAACAGCCACACACACCCAGACACACGGACACACACGGGGACACCCACGCGAAAGCCCATGTGTGCCTTTGCCCTTGGCCACATGGAGCTTACCAGGCATCTGGCCACAGCCACATGCAATGCAGGCACGCCCTGACCCAGGAACACCACACACCTGCCACCGTGGGGATCTGACCTGGTGTGCAGGCACCTGGGCTGCCACCCATGTGGCAGAATCAAGCACATATAGGTTCCTTCACGTCCCTTTCACTATCACCTGTGACTTGGCCAAGTTACACCTCAGTGGTGAGGTTTGCAGCGGGATAGAGAGACTCAGTCCTCACCGTGAAGCTGGGGGTAGTGGGTTCCCACTCAGCTGGGATATTTCTCCTCTGTAGCAAAAGTCTCTTTTTCAGCCCCTTGTCAGGGCAGCACATGGGGAGATGAAGCCAGGGAAACACCCAACAAACTTATATTGGGTATGTCTGTCTCCCTGTTCCCCATGTCCTCTGGCTGTCAGTTTTCTGCCTGGGACCGGAGATAGAGTGCCCGTTTCCTCCAGCCCCTACCTCTCCCTGCCTCTGCTGCTGCTCCCCTGCAACACCCAGGCACCAGCCCCCCACCCTGCTTTCCACCACTTCACCCTCTATTCAGGTGACCCAACCTAATATTTGCCTCCTGCCTCTAGCCCTTTCTTCAACCCTAAACCTTCTTCCTAACCTTCAGGCTTTCCTTCCTTGTCTCCCCTCAACCCCAGCTTCCTCCCCAAGGCTTCTTTGTCCCAGTGTTCACCCAGGCCCTTGCCCTGCCAGTGCCTAAGCCTCACCTGCTCTTTCTCTAGGGACTTGCTGAGGTAGGAGAATGCAAAGGAGGCAGTGACAGGAGAGAGACTGAGCAGAGCAGACAGGGGTGGCTCAGGGACGGGATAAGCAGAGAAGATAGAAAGAAATGGGACTAGGGCAGGGCGGGGACTTGGGGTCCCAGAGATGGTCCCAGTTGGAGAAAGAGGTTGCCTCCTGCCTCCGGCCCCCTGCCCCTGCTCCCTGCTCCGGACTGCCAAGGGAGAACTGGTGAGAGGATGAGGGCGCCAGCACTGGCTGATAGACTTGGGGTGCGATCCAGAGATCTAAGCTAGAGCAGTAGCTGGGAAGAGATGGGAGGGGAGCATGGGGGAGGAAGGGGAAGGGGGCTGGCCACGAGGAAGGATATAGGCTGAGAGGAAACCACTGGGGTCAGAGATGGGGGGCAGCAGGTGGGGAAATGGTGGGGAAAAAAGAAATGGCAGGAAGGGTGGGGGATGTCAAGTTGGGCAAAAATTAGGGTGAGCGTTAAAAATGGGATAGGGAAAGGACATGGGAGGTAAGACCAGGGCTGGGGGTTGAGATGAGGGTATAGTGAGACAGTGATGCTAGACAGGGAGTGGGGGCTGGGGTGGGGCAGGACAAGAGGAGGGGTGGCATGTGGGAGGGCCTGGGAGGGGTGGGAGGACCTGCCCTATCTCCGCTCCCCTCCCTGACCTCATCCTGGTCCTCCCCTTCTCCTCCCCTGCTCGCTGCAGACTCTCTCCTTCTCACTGTCGCTGCCGAGATCCACAGGCGGTTGTGGCTCAGCCCCTGTTGCAGGGGACAAGTGAGGGCGACTTTCCTGTCCTGCCCTGAGACGCCGCCCTCCCGGGGTTGGGGACAGAGCAGGTGCAGAGGCACTGCAGCTGCCCGGTTGCCCAGGTAAGGAACAGAGTTCTGGGGAGACCCAGAAGGAGAGGCAAAGGATTTCTCGCCTATCCCCACACCCTAGGTGAAGGTGCGGCAGGTGAGCTCTCAGCAGTGCTTCCAGAGCAAGGACTTCTGTTCAGGACAGAGGACATAGGAGCATTCACTGGGAACCAGGCTCCCTGTGAAGGAGTGTCTGGGAGGAGAGGGTGGTATGTGTGTGTTGGGGTGGGCGGTGTATGTCAGGGCTTGGATGGGATGCAGACAACTGAGAGGGGCTGGGAACAAACCCAGGGACTCCGAGAGTCAGATGGTGGAAGCAGGGTAGAGGTGGTTATTGGTGAGGTGAGCCCCTGGGCCCTGGAGGTGCTGGGGCTAGCGGGAAGATAGGACTAGGCTGAACTGGTGACCAGCTGAACCTCGGAAGGAAAGTGCTTGCGGAATCCCAAGTGTCGGGCTGGAGCAACTGAGCCCAGGCTCTGGGCTCCAGGCTCCAGGAGGTGCCAGAGGGTGCTGCTTTGGGCATCCAAATAGGGACTCCCTAGGTGGCAGTGTGAGAGTTGCAGGGAGGGAGGTCTGGGAGATCTCTTGAGGAAATACGGAAATGGGACGGTCAGGACTCTCGGGTCTGGGAAGTGCACAGAGCCTGCAGAGAGGATCCTAAAACTTGTTCTTGGCCAGAGCTCTGCACTCATGACTCACGGTTCAGCAGGGCTGGGATGACTGAGAGATGCCTCTGGGGGCACAGGGGCTCCGTCTTCACTCTGTGCCCTTTCCAGGCTCCCCTTGCCTCTGTCTGTCTGAACCCGAGCTCTCCCTCACCCCGCCCTCCCCACCAGTACACGTGACACGCCCCGGGTGGGGCGGGCGGGCCCCTTATCTCGCCTGGAAAGAATTTAATGGCATAGAAACAACTGGAAGTGGAACTGAGAGGAACTACTGGGAAGGAACTCGGAAACACCACAGCTGCTGCCTGCCCCGCCCCTGCTTCCCGCATCTCCAGCCCCTCCTCTTTTCCCTGATCCTGCCTCCAAGTCCCTGGGGACCCAGCACCTCAATTCTTCAAACTTCCTTCTGCTCACTCCAGACCTGGCCACTAGGTGCAGGACCAGAAACTGCCTTCCTGTCTCTCATTGCACCCCTAACCATTTTCAACTGGAGTCTGGAAATCCTCTCTCTTAATTTTTCCATTCCTAGGCCCATTAGCTCCCCAGAATAAGGGGCATCTGGGTTCCCCAACCCACCCCTCCCTGACACCTCCTTCCCACCTGGTTCCAGCCCAATGTCTGGGACCCCCACATTCCCTTTTTAGTCTCACTCCTGGAATCCTGTCTTCACCTCTCATTGCCAGATTCAACTGGTGGTGTAGCAGGAGGGTCAGAGGGAGACATGGGGGTGGGACCATAACCCCCATCTCTGGAACATCTCTTATGGAAGCCAGCCCTCTTGCCACCCCTTGGGACCTGTGCAGTCCCTAATGAGCAAAGTGTCAAAGTTGGCTACAACACTGAATACCCAGGAAGCTGAGTCACAGTTTGGGAAGATGCCCCCATCCCTGCCAGCCCTCCAACTGTGGGGAGGGTGCCAAGAGGGTGAGGCCATATCTCCCCTCAAACACGCACTGCAGAGAACCACTCCAGACATAGTGGCAGGGGGAATGGTGAAGGGGAGACACAAGAGACACCCAATTCTTTGCTTGCCCAGTACTGAGAGAAGAGCAGAATTCTTGCAGGAGCTGGAATGGGGAGCTGGAGGGGTGGGTGGTGGCAACAGGGCAGGGAGGGAGATCGGGAAGGAGCCTCTGGGTGTGTGGTCAATGGAGGCTGCTGTGCTCTTCTAGACCAATCTCACCAGCTTTCTGGAAAAGCTGCTGAGCTCTCTTCACTCCTTCCTGCTGCAAAGACCCTCTCTGCTTTCCCCACTGTGCAGGGAAAGGTGAGGAATCCAATTATTTGGGGAGGGGCACTGGACATCTCACAGAGGCCTCCAGGGGTACGGGGAAGTATGGTGGAGGCCATGTGTCCACTGCTCCCCACTGGGGAAGGGCCTCCTATTCGGTTCCTCTCACACCATCCAGATTCTTTCACTCACAGAGCTGACCTCGGAGCCAACAAGAAATCTGCCTTCTTAGGCATCAGCCAATGACTAGGTGTGGAGGAAACCTGAAGGGGAGATTGGGTGTGTGTGCACGTGTGCCTGGGCACCCATATGTGTACCTGCAAGGATGCAGGTTTTGTGGGTGGATTTGTGTGTCTGTGCAGGTATGTTTGTATTTGTATTTGTGGATGAGCACACATTAACATATTTGTAAGTGTACATGTGTACACATATTTGTGCAAGCGCTCCCATGGTGTGGGAGTGATTTGCATGGCCTTAGACACAAAGTGACAGGATTTGAGGGTCAGCCAGAGCCCATCTCTTACCCAAGGGTACACTCCAGGCTGAGAGAAGGGCTGGGGGGACAGGAAAGGGCAGCTGTCTGTATGCCAGGCCTCTTGGCCTGGGCTTTCTTGGGTGGGGAACCTCTTGGTGTGGAAACACTCTGTCCCTGTTCAGCTCCCTTTCCGTCTCTTGCTGGCTGGTAGTAGAATGTGATGGCTGGTAGCCCTGAAAACTCCTTTTTCTCTGATCCAGGAGAAAAGTCTAAGAGTTGAAAGCCAAAAGATGTGTGCGTGTTGGGCGGAGGTGTGTGTGTGTCACAGTCACCTCCACCTACCAGTAACATATCCCCTACTCCTCACTGGTCAGCATTTCCACACCCACCCTACCCTCCTCCTTCCCCCAGCCTCTGGTCTGGAAGAACTGGGCACCTTTCAGCATCTCAACTCTTCACCCGAGCTGAATCCTGCCTGGACCCTCACACTGCTGTTCGCCATAGCCCTCTCTCCTGTCTCATCCTGGGACCCCCCTACTACCTTTTCTCCCACCTCTTGTCTCTGTGTTCTCCCCAATCCCTGCCTCAGTAAACTCCACAAACACACACAACTGGGTAACCATCATGTAGATCAAGAAATAAGACACCTTTAGCCCCTCAGAAGCTGCCCAGCATGCCACTACTAGTCACTGCCCCCGCTAGAGTATCACACTTCTGACTTGGAGCACTACAAATTAATGTTGCCTCTCCTCAAACTTCACATAAATAGAAGTATGCAGCATGCTGTTTCCTGTGTCTGGCTTTTGTTCAACCTCATCTTAGTAAGATCCATCACACTACTGCATATAACTATAATTCATTCCTGCTTTATTTTATTCCACGGTGTGAATAAACCACAATTTATTTAATCTATTCTACTAATGTGAAATGGTTGGGTAGTTCCCAGTTTGGGACTATTATGAGCAGTACTGCTATGTTGGGTATATTCCTAGGAGTGGAATTGCAGGGTCATAGGGTTTGCATGTGTTCAGCTTTAGTACATTTAGTAGATTCTGTCAAACAGTTTTCCAAAGTGCTTGTACCATCTGGTCCTGCCAGGATCTCCCCTGGCCTGGCCTCTGATTCTGCCTCTGCCCTGGTGACTGTGTCTAACCAACTTCCAGTCCCAGACACTGTCCGTGGTCCTAGCCCTGACCTTGGTCCTGCCCTTGGTTCCAGCCTTAATGCTAGTCCTGCGTTTATATTGAACTTTTCATTCATTCATATAGTTGGTAAACATTTATGGAGCACCACTTATGTGCCAGATGCAAGGATACAGCAGCTAAGAAAGAAAAATAGGTGCCATGCCTGCCCTCATGGACTGTATAGTCTAGTGGGCAAGAAAGTAATAAAATAATCTCACAGTATATTTATATATTATTTTGGACTTCAAAAATAAAAAAAATATTTATTTATATATGATTACAAATTGTTATAAATGCTACAAGTGAGAATGGTGTGATGCTGTGATACCACATGGTAGGAGGACCTGACCTAGTCAGGAAAACTTCCCTGTGAAAAAAATGGCGGGCTGAGACCTGAAGGATGAGAAGGCCAAGAGAGAAGGGAACAGTGTTCCACACGGATGGAACAGCGTATACAAAGGTCTGGGGTTGGGGATGGGCACAGAGAATGTGAGGGACTTGAAGGTCAGTGGGGCTGGAATGGAGGGAGGGAGGGAAATGTTATGGGAGGTGAAGTGGGGGCAGGGGACACATGATGGTAGGGCTGTTTGTCAGTGTTCTAAGAGAATTTGGAAGGGAGGCACTGAAGCATTTTGAGGAGAGGGACATCCTGATTGCATTTGTGAGACTGTAGAGGACAAGGGTGGAAGCAAAGGGAAGAGTCAGGGCTGGACACAGTGGCTCACACCTCTAATCCCAGCACATTGGGAGGCTGGGGTGGGAGGATTGCTTGAGCCCAAGAGTTCAAGGCCAGCCCGGGCAACATAGAAAGATCCTGTCTCTACCAAAAAAAAAAAAAAATTTAAAAATTAGCTGAGTGTGATGGCACACACCTGTAGTCCCAACTACTCAGGAGGCTGAGGTGGGAGGATTGCTTGAGCATAGGTCAATGCTGCAATGAGCTATGATTGCGCCACTGCACTCCAGCCTAGGTGACAGAGTGAGACCCTGCCTCAAAAAAAAAAAAAAAAAAAAAAAAAGATGCAGCCAGGAAGCAGTTGCAGTTGTCAGGCAAGAGGCGGATGGAAGTTTGGATTAGAACGAAGGTAAGTGAGAGAGAAGGAAATGAATTAAAGAGATGTTTATGAGAAAATACAGGTAGATACAAGGAAATACGGTGGCACCGAATGGGCTGTTAGGTTTCTGGCTTGTAAAGCTGGATGAATGGCGGGGCCCTGAGTTTCAATGGGGAATTCTGGGAGGGAACGGTATACAGGAAAGTGACCATGAATTCAGTTACAGGCATGGTGAATTTGAGGTGCCCAAGTGGAGATGCCAAGTAGGCAGGTGGATATATTGCCATGGAGTGAGAGGAAGATGACAGGAGTGTTTTACAAGTTGGTGTATAGTTTGGAAACTGAAGTCATGAATCTGGATGAAGGTACCACGTGGATGACTAGAGCAGCAGGTCTATTAAT